GCATGCAGATTTCTCACATTCTCCATATTTAGTCATCCAACTTCCTTGAGCTTGTGGGATATTCTGTTTCTTCTTCTTATTCCATATATATAAGTCTCAAACAAGAATTCTGGACTTTCTGAATTTTTTCTTTATTGTGACTTGTCAGGTTCGGCCCATAAATAGTATCTGCAAAATTCAATTGTGCTAGTACTAAGCTCCCACACATTTTTTCAATTCAATTGATAGGCAGTGCCTATTGCCATATATCAGTTTGAGGGAGACATATGCCCGTTTAATGAGTTTGTTAGTGTGTTTTTCTATCTGCAAGGTGTTACGTCCCTATGGTTATATAAATGAATTCATCAATAGTAGTATCATAAAACCCCAAAAATTCATCGGTACATTTCCATTTTCAACGAAAAATTTGTTATTCAGCAATATCATGAGAACGAACAGCAGGATGAAACCACGAGTCCGTATGACGATCGATTTTATGTGCTGATTGCTCGATCGGTATTACTCAAAAATAAGAAATTTCCAATAAAAAACATGGACATTTATCTGAGAAAATTTTGTCAAGTAGTATTCTTGAAATTTATTTCCTGAAATATTCTCAGCTAAAAACAAAATATCAATTCTCGCATTGAATAAATTTCATTACCTGAAAAACGAGGAATTTCAGCGGCTGGATATATCAGCTATACGTCGCGTATTCTTTTCGACTTCAACGAAATTTAGAATATCGTTTCCATGTCTTTTCATACGGATAAGTTTCGATTTTGATTTCGAAATTTCTGGATATCATTTTTTCAAGGACAAAACACAAGCACAGGAAAATCCTTAAGGCTCTCTGAAAGCAGTGCCTGTGATTCACGTTAGATTTGAAAAGTTGGAGATTAAATCCATTTAGGGAAATGTTCTCTGGAAGTTAATACCACATAAACGCAGTGCTTTAAATGAAAGATTTCTCAAACAGTGATGTTCGAGGTGTACTGAGTTGAACCTCAAAACTATGAGTAGCCACAGTCCGTCTTGTATTTCTGATGCATGCCGCTCTTGGTGGAGTCAAATGTGCCAAGTCACTTGAACACCTCCCGTTGAAGTATCTATAAAAGAGAGACGAATCTTCAATCTTTCTTCGATGTTTTGGACTATCAAGGTTGCAAGTGATGTCCGTGTCTCCAATCAGGTGGATGGCTATTTTCTGGATGGAATCCACCAGCTTCAGGTTATGCTTAGGGGCGGAGCTCCATACATGTGAACATTCCTCCAAAGAAGATCTGATTTGAGCTTTATAAAGCATCAAAAGTTGCTGATGTTTAATCTTTCGAAAAACAGCCTTTGCAATTCCAGCGAAATAATTGTGCCAAAACATATTGGATTCCACTTCAACCCCCCAACAAACTTATTGAAACAGAAAGCAGAATTGTCTGTCCTAGCATTATTATAGACGATTCGAAGACATCGATCTTTTTGGAGAGAAACCGATGCCTGGGGTTTCGTGGTATTTAATTCTACCCGGTAACTTTACTTTCACCCCAATTCGAAATCACGTCTGGATCCTTATAAGATATGCAATCTCCTGCTGCCGGTAAAGATGTGCATCTGCCATCGATTTCCTGGAATCCAAATGGAATGACGCGACAAGTGTGCTGTCGTCAGCAAACCTAGGTATATATTCGTTTCTTGGTTTCTTCCAATAAGTTGTGGATATACAATAAAATGAGAAATACATTCGAGAGATATCTATCAACGGCCATTTGCAAGAAACGTTCTTTCTGGAAGCTGGAGAGCCATATACTCAAAAATGATCCGACAAGCCATAACGTCGAAGTTTAGCCGGCAAACCCTCATCCCGCATACGGTCAATAGCCTTAGGAATATCAAGCACAACAGCTCTTGACTCTCCATATTGGTCAATTGCGTTATTCCTAATATGGGTGACATATATGAATTCAAAGAGGAGTTTGAATTGATGTCTTATTGAGGATATGTCAATCAGTGAGGTGTGTAAGTTCGTTTCTCATATCGGTATCTTATATCTGTACATTGTTTTGGTTAGTGTTATGTGATTTACATATTTATTCGAGTCTTAGTAGAATGGAGCTCTAGTTACTGTCAACATCATTTTATGAAAGTGAACCTCTGACATTTTGTAGTAGAATTCATGCTAAGTTTCATAATTTTATTCGAATATTTGATTCCATTGGTTCAATTCTATTAGGACAGTGACAATGACTAAAATTGTGGAAATGCTGCATAACCAGGCACCGAGAGTCACGTATGATTCAAGAATAAATACACCTAGATGTTAATTTCATGGCTATCAGTTTTATCGCCGAAGGAAAGAAGCGTTTTATTGCTGTAAAATCTCTCTATTCAATTTACTATAATTCAATATAAACAATATAAAGCGGATGAGAAATGTCCCATTTTAAATCTATATCTCACCTTTAACACAAACGACAGTGATATTTCATAACAATCCTGTTCAGTGTGATTTCCAGCAACTTTGAACCCATTTTGTTCTGATTCGAATTGTTTGGAAACTCATTTCAGAAACATTTCGTCATTTACTTTTTTTTCGAACTACTACTACATCCCCTCTTGATTACATTCAGTAGTTTTACTAGAAAATCAATTTCACGATTGATTCTCAGACGAGTTATGTGTGACCTTTTAGGGGATGCAAAGCACCACTCTGGTAAAACCGTACCTATATAGTGATGCTGATTTGATGCGAGTGTATTACCCACACGAGGATGTTTGCATTATTCAGTGCGACGTCTGAAAAATTGATGAAAGGGTGAAAAAGCAAAATTGTTGATATGATACAGTGAACACATTTCGAAGTTTGGTTGAATGCTTTTCACAACAATGATTTGATAATTTTTGACTGGGTTTTGCTACTACTCGATAACTGCTAAATTATTAGTCAGTATACACTCTAATATTTGAAAAAAAGCAACTGATCGAATATTGATTTTGAAAACTTTCCTTTGAGTGACAGAGTCAGAGAAGATGGCACCATCTTGGAAAACAATACCCAGGCGAGTAATTTTGAATCTTAGTCAATATACAACTACTACAAAATGGTGGTAATTTGATAATATACTGAATACAAATCCACTCAAAACAATATTTCTACAAATATTTGTTTTTTTCCGTCGTATATCCACGGTAACGTCGATGAGGTTTGACAGTGTTATACAGTCATTGTATAACATTGTCAGACTATGTTCAACAATCATAAAAAGCTCCTCCCCAAATACGATGAAGTATTTATCTTTTTGGAGAAAACCAATGCCTGGGTTTTTGTGGTATTGAATTGAACCTGAATCGAATCGAAATCACCTCTAGATCCTCATTAAGATATGCAACTTTCTGCTGCCGATGAAGATGTGCATCCGCAGCTGATGTCCTGGAATCCAAATGTATTGATGAGACAAGTTTGCTGTCGACAGCAAAGCAATATATTGGATTCTTCTCTGTATCTTCTCAAACTATTCTATTCAAATTTTCCTCGTGGTTTCAATATTCATCTATGCTTTTACCTTTTATATGTTGACATTTATTTTCAACTATGTCCACAATATCTTTTTTATCATACATCATACATTTGGTGTCTTAAACTATATAACAGCCTACTACAAAGGATTCAGCAAATCCGATGCATTAAACAATTTAAAAACCTGCCAAGTACGTAAGAAGTTAACCTTTTCAAAGGAATAAAAATTTTCGATGATATCTTGCACACACTTTGTATTAATAACCATCTATACATAAATGAAACGACAAAAGTAATATTAAATCACAAATGGAGCTTCGAGTAAAATACATTTATATTTTCAGTAGTTCACTTCCTTATCCGGTTGAGCAGCAGCTCAGATGTCTTTGTTGAGCAGCTTTCTCCTTTGCTTCATCTAACATTTTCTGTTTTAGAGCCAAGAACATGTCATCAACGCCCTGATTCAACTTTGATAATGGATTGCCTTGACTTTTTCGGCATAAGATTCAGCTTCTTCCAAATTTACATGTCTATCCTTTTCAAGATACCTTGAAAATAATCTTCTTTCTGAAAAGAATCCTCATCTGTTATATAGTAAACTAAGACAGCTCCATTTGACGACCTGTAATAGATTAGTGCTAAGGCATGGAATTTTTCTTGACCAGCAGTGACAGTAATGTCTTCTGACCACATAAGTCGAAATGGCTGTAGGTTTTTCATGAAACATGAAAGGGCATCGGAAAATTATATTTTTCTTATTTTTTTATTAATTGAAAAGGTAGGTAAATATCATGAAATTATGAAACAACAACAAAAATTAATTGGCGCTCCGGGGCGACTTGACTGATTCCAGTAGCGCTTTTACTCTTTTAGCTGCAGGAAAACCCGAAAAAATCTGCACCATCACATCATCTGAAGATCTTGATCTGCCAATGTCCTCTCTTCCATGAAATGAAATGAAGGGTGTCTCCAGAGACTCCAATAAATTTAAGTTATCGCCAGAATATTCAGTGGAGTAAGCAAAATCTATCATTTCCGTTTGATTTTCATACCTTCGGAAATAAGGAAAATAATTCGTCTTATAAATGCTGAGAGGTTTCACATTTCAATCGTGTGGTTGTTGTATTTTACAAAAAATTATAATTCATATCAATTATTCCTTCTGTTTCCAGTACTTTATCAAAATTCTGTCTATTTTCATGTTGAACATGTTAATGGAAAACCGTCGAGAATAACTCAATATTGATGATTATCAAATTTCGTATTGATTCAAAACCAAGCCCTCGGGAAATAATTTGTACGTCAATATTAGTAGATATTATTTGAATTTATATTGAACCAAAATGGAGAGCAAACATTAATCACGTCGGAGTGTGTTTAATGTGATTACAGTCACAAATAACACAAAAAAAACCTTTTAATTTCTGTTGTGTCCACAAGGCCCAGGAGAGGAATGAAACATTCGTTTTATCGCTCCAGGGATAAATTTACTCGGTGTTCATGTTGTAACGAAAAATTTGAACACTTCAGAAACGTTGGGATAATTTTGTTAACCTGGGTATAGATCCCTCAGAGAGAATCGAAATGACCTTACTAAATCAACAAGTAACGCGGTAGATATTGGGAATAAACATATTTACTAGGGTAAGGAAGGTTGCATACCGTATGCTAATTCAAAGATTTAATTGATTTAAATATTGGAATTCAAATTTGCGCATGTCCCGACTAACAGAACGGTAAAGAGATCGAGAACGAAGGAGTCGAGAAGATTAGCTGGTACAAAATTTTTCGTTGGTTTATCAAAAGAAGCGAAATCACATTCCTGTACCTGTTGATATGTAAAGGAATTTTGGAGGCTGTTCTGGGAAGAAGGTAGGTTGCATCCTTATCCGTTTTGACAATTATATCGTTGAATCAAAAGTTAAATTCAATTCTTATTTTTGTAGATCTGTCAGGCCTCCATACCTTATCATATCAATAACGCCGTTTTTACATATAAATTGGTAACACGGAGATTACTATTAATCACAATAATTCATTGGTGCAGTTGGATAGGAAATGATGAATGAATAATTTTCACCTTGGACTTCAATCAGTTGGATCCTAAGGTCAGACCAAATCTATTTTTTATTTCATATGGAAATTGTGCAAGGACGTAGGAGAAATTTCCCCGTGTACCGTTAGAATTCCAGCATATATCCCTTCCTGGATTATTTAACCTTCCCTCCCTGATGTTGCAAAAGGCGAGCTCTGGATTAGAAAAGACAATCCTAACAAATATTTAGTTCCCACATATACGTACTATTATTGTGACCCTTGGGGTCGTTCGAAAGAAAATAAGTGTTAATTTTTAAGTGTAAGCCAAGGGTAACGTTACTCCGGGTACCGAAATTTTTTATATATTAATTATTAATATACAATTTAATATTCATTGTGGCAATAAACCCGCCTTCTCCGAAAGTCCGTGAAAGTGTTTTTTTATATTTCCCAGTTTAGAGAAAACAAGCTGGGTGGCGCCCATAAAACAAAAAAAGAAACTAAAAGAATTCTGAATTAGAGAACTGATTTTTCATGACATTTTCCTAGACTTACTCACGACCCAGTCACCAGACGAGAGCAACCGGAGCATAAGTATCCCAAGAATTCGAAAATAACGGGATAATGTGTTATCTGTAATTAGCGGTACGAATATAGACGAATGGCTTTGATGTGAAGTTCAGAATGGAAGTAATTCCAATAATTATTGGGAAAGAAAGGTTTTGGTTTTCAACTTTTCCATCTCTACACAAAAAATGTGGGAATCTTCTAAAGAAAGGAAGGTAGTAATTCATTTTAAAATAAACTCTTTTCAGATATGTCTCGGCCTTATTGTCTTTTTAGCACCAATCTGGTTAACATTACAAGATGAAGCATTTCATTCATAAAATTACGACTTTATGTTACGAATAATTGAAATTTACTAAAGTCATCGATGACGTAATGACATTTATTCGCTTATTTGATTCAACTCCAGTCATAGAAACCTTGTTTGAATTGAAATGGGTATATTTTTATAAGAGATTAATTTTTGAGAAGAAAAGGTTCTGGCCTTCTACTTCTGAAACAACTACTTTCTTTCATGTAAATATTGAATTATCCGAAAGAACAATGATTTCTAAACAACTACTTTTTTAAGTAGTATTTACATTGTATGATACACAAAAACACATTCGATATGAAATTGAATAAGATATTATTTACAGAACTGCTATACAAGATGGAATATGAAAGAGGTGAAATTTCACTTAATGGAACATCGTTATCCTTAATGGCGGACATTCGACGTTTCGGAAGACACTTGCCTTATTGCCTCTTCAGCACCAATCTGGATACATTATAAGATAAAGCATTCAATCCACTCATAAAAGTATGACATTATGTCAAGAATTGGTTGAATTTACTCATGGCATTGATAACAGTACGTAAGACCATTCATTCGTTTATTTGATTTAATTTGATTAATGTGGAATTGGCCTCGGTGGTAGTGCGCCCGACTCACGATCGGAAGACCGTGGGTTCGATTCCTGCCTCGACCAGATATTTTTCTCGAGATAATTTATCTGGCTGAAGCTGGAGATGATTCTTGCAACCGTGTTAGGAATGACACGTTTAAAGGTAAGACCTCGTTAGTCCTTGGCTCGCACAAGTTTCTCAACTTCTGAGAGTTGTCGTTCGTATGGGGACGACAGCTGATTACCGGAAAACCAGATTTTTTTTGAACAGATTCCAGTCATAGGATTCTTGTTTGAATTAGAAGGGGTATATTTATAGAAGATATTATGTATTTGGGAAAGGAAGATTTTGGCTTTCTACAACTTCATATTCATACAAAAAATGTGGGAATCTTCCAAAGAAAAGAAGAGAACAATTAGTTTCAAAATAAATTCTATACAAAGGTGTGTAGTTCACGCAAAAAAGTAACTTTCAGACACAAACTGGAAGAAAACGCCCTTTCGAAATACAATACAACAATACAACACATACAATTTCGAATTACACGAATGAAAAAATATTTTCCAAACAACTACTTTTATATGAACATAGAATGATACAAATAAAATCAGTAAAAAAATGTTTAATTGGAAAAAAATGATTTGTATAATGTACTGAAAGCTAAAAAAATTATTCGGAAGATCCTAGGCCACAGTCATCATACCACTCTCTCCAGCAATCTACCGTATGGATCAGATTAAAATGTAATAAAATCGTTTGGCGTAGTATTCACTTAGGTACATATTTACTCAGGTTACGCTACACCCAACGATTTTATTTTTTTTATCAATACCGCAGATTGCTGAGGAGAGTGGTGGGATGAATGCTACCTAGGATATTTAGATTTAGTTTCTAGCTTTTAGAACATCATCTACATCAATATTATCTTTTTTTTTTATTAAAACCGATAAACGTTAAACTTTGTTTTTCAAGTTTATAATTTCTAATTTTGTTACTCAATTTTTCTCATTCTGTTCAGTTTATTTTGCCTCAGTATTACAAGGTTCATTTCCCAACTCGCTTAGGGCATTGTATGCTAGTCCTTCTTCAAACAATGTCGAGCCTAAGCACATAACTGCGTGGTCTATGGTGCTGCCTTGCATTTGTGGACAATGGAAGCCCATGACAAAATGGAGGATAACAACCTTTTTTTAGCCATTCCATAATTGAACTTGCTGAAAACTGTATGCCTTTAGGGTGGATAACATGTACGCCGTCTCTTCCAAAGTCTATTTGAACTGACGGTTCATCTGTTTCGTAAATTTGAGTAAAGGTGCGTATTCACCAAAAAAGCGAGCACGAGCGAACAAGAGCAAACATAAATAATCGTCTGGTGAGTACGGGCTAGCGAGCGAGCGAACGTATGCTTGTTCGCGTTCAAAAAAGATCGAGAAGAAGGCGGTATATCTAAAGGTGCTCGCACAAAATGGATGGATCAACTACAACTACGAACTTAAAGATATTCGCTCTGGTGTGGACGAGACATCAATATGTCGAGCAAACACGAGCGAACATGAGCGAACACGAGCAAACATACACGAATGCTCGCCCATGCTCGCTCGTGCTCGCTTTTTTGGTGAATACGCACCTTAAGACGAAACTGAGGCCAAACAATTTCTGCGATGTAGTCGATAGCGCCGTTCACCAATACTTTCGATACGTCAATATTGGACCGCAACATATTGAGGTAGTTGTGAAATAATATGTAATCCGACATTTTGTAGGTGCGGCCATCTTGAATTTGCGTGTTTTCCAAAGTGTACTACCATTCTACTAGTCAAACCTTGTCATTTGATACCCATATTGAGGTAGTTGTAAAAAATTATGTAATCCGCCAGTTTGTATCTGCGCCTACAACAAAGAAATAACATATCATTTATACCTCCTTTAAATTATACCAACTATCAACAAACTCACAGATATGGAAAGAGATTTAATTATTCTTGGCGAAATCTGAAACTGTTTTAAAAAATTGAAAAATCAAATATTTCTTTCGGAACTTCTCACAGAAACAGAATTCAAAAAATGGATTTCAAAATATTTTTTCAACAGTTAAAACAACTCATCATAATTAAAACTGGTGTAACGTCAGATCTGAAATTTCACTCCGGCCAGAGGAAATCCTGAAAAGTATCATGAGGATATCACGGATAATTTTCTCATCAAGGTGACAAATTGTTTTTCCAGAACATGCCTGAAATAAACAAAACAAAAAGCACCAATTATTTTGATACGTCAATATTGGACTGCAACATAATTAGTTGTGAAATAATATGTAATCCGCCATTTTGTCATCTCGCCGTCATCTTGAATTTGCGTATTTTTCGAAGTGTACTACTATTCCACTCGTCAAGCCCTGTCATTTGATAGCCATATTGAGGTAGTTGTGAAAAAATATGCAGGGGAGAGTGTGTATGAAAGAGCCAGTTTTGAAAAACATTAAAAAAAATTAACGTCAGGTGATGGTTATTTAATAACATTGCTTTCTGTAAATGATTAATTTAATAGTCACGGTCATCCAATCAAAATAAAATGAGACACAATGACAGAAATTAGTAATATGGCAACTTAAAACAACAATTTATTTTAAAACCAGTCTCCTTATGAAATGATTAACTAGAAACATTTTTGGCAAAAGAAATGTGTAACACCTTCAATGCCACAAGACTCATGTGCCCAATCATCACAAATCTTACACTGGTACCATTCTACTTTGCTCTTAGCTGCTGTGTGTAATCTCCATTACACACAGTTCAATAATTTTATCTTGCTGTGAAGTTATCTTCTTGTTTTTCAACTCCAATAGATTTCACCAGCTGAGCTTGTTGTAGAGGAATCATCGTGCAAAGATATGTTGGCGCTGGAATCACTGGAATAATTATGTGCCTTGGAACTTAGTTTTTTATATTTTGTTTTGTTGACATTTTCTTAACACCAACTTTTCTAGGTTTATTTTTCTTCTCTTTTTCCTCGTTTAATTTTTTTCTAAAGCTGGATTAGATCTGTCAGTCAGATATGATGCAAGGAACGCATCGTCAGAAAATATGTTAGATTTTAATAATTATATGCCAGTTTTGATGAATCCTTGAGTAACATTTTGTAAGCTGAAAGATGCTAAATATGTATCTCTAACAAACTGCGCAATTTTGGTAGTTTGTAGTGAAAGAGCCAGTTTTCGTACCATGAAAGAGTCAGCTCTTTCAAACCCTCCACAAGGGGATCTTTCAAAACATTTTGTCATTTAAGTTGTAACCTCAATATACAGCTATTTCGCGTAAATATTATGACATCAATATTATCGTGATATAATGCTAAATATATGCGCAACAATACAATATATAAATTTTATCAACTCATGCTGCACTTTTCCTTGTAAAACAAATTAAATAAACGCAAAGAAACATACTTTTTGGTCCTAAAATCTTTGATGTGGTCCACTAAGGCCATTTGTTTTTGCAGAACTATCAAATAGTTGTGGATGACAACTATTCAGTGTTGCCATACAAACATTAAATTTAAATTATGGTAAGATTTTGGTAAGTGGTAGAAAATCACATCGGCTCTTTCAAAGCGTAGCTCTTTCAAATACACTCTCCCCTAATCCGCCAATTTGCAGCTCAGGTTATATTGGGTTCACAATATTATTTATTAAATTTTATTGTCATCAAAACTAAATGTGTGTAACAAATATCAGACAAATCTGTCAACAGGAAACGGAATGAACTTCAACTACTACATTTGACCCAAACAGGACAAGCTGAATAAAACCGTTTAATGATGAAACTGTTTAATAAAAACACTTTTTTCTGTTCACTTACATAGAAATCCTCAATGGTGAACATTGATGTTTCTAATCAAGATACTTGGTCTGTAATTTGGAAAGGAGGCTGGAATATACAAGCATTTATAGAGCAATCGCATTGGTCAAT